GACCCTCACCAGTAATGGCGTTTGTATATTGAACGTGCCACTGGAAAATGCACCTTCAGTCTCAGGCTAGTTACTTGTATTGGCTTGGGAATAATTACATGCATCTACAAAACGCTATCATCAAAAAATGGTGTAGAGCCTGCTTACCTCTCTATTCCTTATTGCTTCCAGTTCCAAGGCTTTCGTGATTTCCACCGTTGTCATTGCATTCGGAAGGTCTTGCTTGTTGGCAAATACCAATAGCTTGGCATCTACAACAAGTGTAAACGTCGTATGATATGATGCCCATGGTATGCAAGGTACGTAGGTGAAAGTAAATACGTGGTCAGCACTCATGAATATCTCAAGGGTAAGCCACGCCTCTGGCCAATGCTCAAAACAGTGGACTTCTCTGAATCTACATTACATAAGAGGATAAAGGGATAAGGTCTTCACCACTTTTCAATCCCCTTTTGGGGTTAAGCACGCGTTCTACTTCCACACGGAATAGTGGTGCTTACTGAATGCAATGTGGCAATGACTTGCGGGCCAGCCACACCTCAGTGTTTTTCCTCCCAAACGAATCTGGTACCACTTCACCATCCCCTGAGGAAAGAAGACGGTAGGTCTGAGTGAGCTTTGCCCTGGTCTGTCGACTGCGCTCGCGAAGTCCCTTGGCTCTTTCTCGCCCCTGAACATCTGTAGCAGAAGAGAATCTTATTTGGAGGGATTCTGCAGGTTTTGCCTAGTACCTATTTCCTTCACTGGTAGATCAAGGAACGCATACAACTTCATGCTTGGAACCAGCTGGAAACATTACCACGTGTTCCAATCAACCATACAAACTGCGTCGAGTAAACCGACCTTGTAATTCTGGATCTTGCAGTAGTGAATGAAGTGCGCCACGAGCTTCTTCTGTACGCTCTCTGTCAGCGCTATCGACCACGTAGATTAGTCCCTGAAGTGTTTTCGGTAGTCACTCGAAGGATAACAGTCATAGCACATCTCCAGTCTAACAGTACGAGCAGTACTCTTTCAGCCAACGACAGCGAATTAAACATCTCTATAGCGGACACACACGAAACAGAGTCTGTTTCCTATCCATCTCCAAAGCTTGATCTTTTTCTAACAAAGGACGTTTTTAGGTCGTGCAACTCATATTCAAAACGGCTCGTTGTATGTTGTGGAAATTCATGTAGGCGCCACAAAAGTGTGGTTCATTCTCCTTGCGCGCTTCTTAGAAGGCCGGTATGTATACAGTAGACTGTTATGAACCACGCAGGTGACGAAAATTGCTGCTCTCCCTTTTTTTGTGCCCTTCATAAGTTGGAACCTTTGTGCGAATAGAAA